GGGCGGGCGGACAGGCAGCACTCACGGGGTAGGCGTCCGAGTCATCGTTGCTCATCTGCAGGAACCTCTCGGGCCTTGCTGAGGAGTGCTCCGGGCCCTGAAAGCAAATGCCAGATGGCCCAGGCAGGCCAGTGTCTGGGGGGATTGGAGACCTGTCACACAGGACAGGGACCCAGGACTTAGGGGAGAGTCTGGAGGGCTTCTTGGAGAAGATGCCCTCACCGTGGAGTCTGAACCACAGAAAAGAACCAGGAATGTGGGACAAGAGTAGGGAGGGTATCCTCAGAGGAGGACCCGGCCGGAGCCGGCACATGTGTGAACATGTGGGGCAGAAGGAAGAAGCAAAAAGGCCAAGTTAAGACGCTCTTTCTCTAGAACATTCTAACCTACAGCAGTGGCCATTCACTGAGCGTCTGCTATGTGCCAGACACAGTTCTACACAGGACCCCACACAGGATGATAGGCGGCGTGTAAAGTGCTCAGCACAGCGAGACCTGGCTCTGAGCAACAGTGATCAGTCCCTGAACGGATGCTCGGACCAAGCTGAGCAGGCCCGCAGGGACATCCATGGCAGCCGAGCAGCGGCCCGGCCCGCCTCACTCCATGCAGCCCCTGCAGCCACCACGGTCCCTCCCATCCCCCACCTGGTCGGCGGCGCACCCAGCAGGGCAGTATCCCATGATGGGCTGCTCCTCCCTTCTCTCCCCCACTGGCCTGCACATCCCCACTTCTCCCCACGTGTGGCTGCACAGGCCAGTCCCCAAGGAGGCAACCAGAGGACAGGCAACCATGCAACATAGGTTCAAATCCCAGTTCCGAGCTGTGTGACCTTGGGCAAGCTACTCCACCTCTCTGTGCCTCAGTTCCTCCTCTGGAAAGTAGGAACAGGATCGACCTCCTTAAGTTATCATAAGGGTTGGAAGAGTTACTACACAGAGAGGGTTGTAAACAGAGCCTAGCACAAAGCCACACTCAGACACATCAGTTACATCTGTTGCTGGAACAATAGTGTTGTCACCTTCACCAGTGGTCACACAGACACACGCAGGTCCCACCCTGAGGACCCATGTGGTTGGAGGGGACTGGAAGGGGCAAACCCCACCCCCACCCCTGCAAGCAGCCAAGGGTCCACCCAGCCCCTCCCAGGCTGGCCAGAGCCCACCCAGCCCCCATCACCACCATGGCCCCCGTCACCACCGTGGCCCCCATCACCACCGCGGTCCTCACCATGCCCTCCATGCCGTGGGGCAGCAGCAGCACGATGCCGTTGTGCCGCACCCACTTGGCCTGACCCGTGCTGATGAACTGGTCGATGATGCACTGGGCCGTGTTGTGGAAGTCACCAAACTGGGCCTCCCAGAGGACCAGGGCGTTGGGGCTGGCCATGGCGTAGCCCAGCTCAAAGCCTAAACAGAAGATACTGAGCTAGAAGTGGCCACACACTGGCACCAAGTGGCAGTGGCTCTGGTCAGACCCAGCCCTTCCTCATACACCCTCCCCACTCCGCCCGTCCTGCCCAGCTGGCCAGAAGAACCCGGGGACCCTTAGGGCTCCAAGGCCAGGATCTCCTTTCCTGGCAGCTGGCAACATGCCCAGAGATGCTACCTTCCACCCCAACCTCACACATGGCTAACTTCAGCCTTATCTAGACCAGGAGCCAAGTCCAAAGGTACTCTGGGGAGGTAGCAGGGACCATCTGCCAAGGAGCCCCCCAAAATATATGCAGGGCTGCTAAGAGGAAGGGGAAGGGACAGCCCCAGAGGCAACGCCCCAGAAGGGGTGGCCAGTCTGGGAAGAGGCAGAGGGAGGAAGCGGGCCAGCTAAAGGTCCAGCCAGGAGGGTAAGGGGCCAGTCAGGGGAGCCTAGAGAGGGGCCCTCGAGACAGGGCTGCTGGGTGTGGGAGCAGGGAGAGGGCAATACAGGGGTCAGGAACATGGAGGTGGCCAGCCAGGCTCAGGGCCAGTCAGTGGCAGCATCCCACAGTGGGCTCTGTGGGGTTTTCTGTCTGGGCCCACTGGTGCCCAGGCACAGGCTCTGATATCCAGAGCCCCCACAGGCAAGAGTGCCCCCAACTGGGCTCTCTGAGGGACTAATTGAGATAGGACCTCATCTCCCTTGTGGCCTCAAGTGGGAGCAGCCCAACCACTGTCCTCAGGGCCGCCCAGGACCCAGGTCCACCCAGGGGCCTCTGAGCCTCTTCGGCCCCTCCCAGCCCCAGACCCAGTCTGTGGTCAAAACAAGAAAGACAGGACACCCGGAGGTGCAAGGCCCTCTCCGGTCCCCCAACCGGCAGACAGAGTTCTGACCCACCCAGGACTCCATACTCCGAGAGAGAGCTGTTGCACACAGTGTAAGGGGCCTGGTCAGGCCAGAGGTGGTTCATCGGGACACACGTCCTCCGGTCCACTTCCTGGTCGTGGAGAACATGGTGCCGGTGACTGGAGAGAGACAGACCGGGAAGGGAGGAGAGGCCGGTGGGCTGACACTTGCTCACGTAGAGTAGGTGGTCCAGGCAGCAGGAGGCAGGCAAGCCTCCATCACTGTGCCAGGACACCTGGCAGAGTCCCACCAGATGGTGACACCAAGAAAGCCAGAGTGATCTGGTTCCTCCCCCAGGCATCCTCCCCTCCCACTGGTACCCTCACACTGTGCCCTGGGGGTCTTGGAGCACAGACATGAGAGTCTTAGCTTCTCACCTACAGAAGGGACCTGATGAGATCTGCCCTGCCGACCTCCAGGATGCTAGGTAGAGTCTGAGTCCCTAGGAGGCCACACCCCAGGGGCATTTCCCCTGCCCAACCTGCTAGTCCCTTTACCAGCTTGCCTCTTCCTCCCAGAAGGGAGGAAATGCGACTAAGGGGGGCCCCCTGGGTGAACCTCAAGCCTCATGAGGACTGACATGCAGCTCAGGGTGCAGGGAGGAGGACCCCTGTGCCCTGGCTGGAGCAGGGCCAGCAGTGATGAATGACTGGGACAAGGGAAAGATGGCCCATTGAATCCTGGAAGCCATACTTCATGACTCACATAACATAGCAGTGACCCAGTCAGGATCCAAAACAGAGGAAATGTGACAGGGATAAGTGACAAGTGTAAAGTCTGGACTTAAAACTCAACAGCAAGCAAGCAAGATGGTAGCAGGGAGCTGGCTTGACAGTAGTTCACCAAAGGAAAGAAAAAGATCTTGAGGACCATAGATGACCACAAGGCTTGACATCAACCAACAGCTTGGGCCAAGCCATCAGCTCTCCATGCTTGCCTGGTGGGGACAGAGAGAAAGCCCCACAGCCCTCACCTGAACGTGCCCCTCTCCACGTCCTGCCCGCTGAGCCGCACATGGATACCCTCCTTGAGCAGGGAGCCGAAGGCCATGTACTCTGCCAGCGCCCAGTCCACGGTCCGCATCCTGGTCAAGTCTGCGCGGCCCCGCAGGATGCGAGAGAGGCCTGAGGTAGGGAAGGGCTAGCCTGAGGGGTGCAGGGGCCTACCACCTGCCTGGGACAGCCATGGCCCCAAGACCTAAGCCAGGTGTATACAGACTCAATGTACACCCCTCCCACAGAGCAGGGCCCTGCAGGACACAGGAGGCCCAGCGCCAGGCCCCCTTCCTCCAGCACTCCCCCTCTAGCCGAGATGAAGGGCTGGCCAGAGCCCGCAATCCCACCAGCCTCCCTCCCTGCAGGAAGGAGCAGATGCCTCTAGGGGAGCATCTGCCATGTGCACATACTGGCCACATGCACTGTTGGTTACATTTCTCAACCCCACGGGAGAGGTGCCAACTTAGAGGGGTACCCACCCTCCAGATGAGAAGACTGAGGCTCAGAAGAGGGAGGTCACTGACTCACAATCAAACAGCTATAAAGGTACTTGGGTTTAAGCCCGGGCACCCAGCTCAGGCTGGGCTCCTGTTGGCCCTACACCCGCAGACCCACTGTGATGTACACACAGCCAGTGCCCCAAGACACTTGGGCCTCCAGGCACATGTGGAGGAATCCTCTTGGAACTCCCACAGGCTGGTCAAGGGTGCACAGGTGCCCCGCAACCACCACAGGGGCCCTCCAGGCTGCCTGAGCAGAGGCCACAATGGCCCTGGCCAAGAGGTGCAGCTAATGAGCCCCCACTAGCCCAGGGTGGCCCTCTGTCATCCATCCAAGCCCAGCACTCCTGCCCTCTGACATTCTGGACCCAACCGCCCCCTCCATGGGAAGCCCTTGCTTCCCTGCTCTCCTGCTGCGTGATCCAGGGCGGCCCCTGGCAAAGACCTGGGGAAAATACAAGGTGTCCCACATACGCCTGGTCACCGGCATCCAGCTGGGAGCGTGGCATCCGCATATATTTGCCCTGAGAGGAGCTGGGGTCACAGGCACCTCACAGGGCACGAAGATGTCTCTGAGAGCTCAGCTGACCCGCCCAGGACTAAGGGGGATGCAGGCCAGGCCCCCGGACGCCTGACGCCATCTCCCTTCGGACAAGGTATCAGGTCTGGGACAGCAACCCACACTGGAGCCCACCCATCGACCTCACCTGTGTGGATCTTAAAGTCCTCCAGGGGCACAGAGCTGGCCACTTCGCCGATGTGGGTCAGCACGTCCTCAGGAACTCCCGTGGCTGGGCATGTCATGCTCTTGGGCTCCCCGTCCACACTGAAGAAGCCTGAGAGGGCAGAGGCTCTGTGACTTTTGGGGGCAGTGGGGCCTCAGACCCCAGGGTCAGCCTGTCTCCCCAGGACTCGGGGCCAGCCACTTCCCTAACACCAATGGCACTCAAACTCTGCACCCATCCTGGGGACCTGGGACAGCTCACAGTCGCAGCTCAAGCTCCGACACCTACTCAACATCCTCCGGTGGGAACCTGCAAGGCTCTGCCCTGGGCCCAGCGTCACAGCCATCTCGCTCCGCCCCAGAGAGGCCCGCTGAGCACCCCTCCTCCAGGGCTCTCTCCACCTGGCTGTCCACCCTCCCTGGCTCAGCCCTCCTTTTCCAGGGGACAGCTGGTCACATGTACTCTGAGGGCGATGCCATCCCCTGCTTCCTGGGCCCACCCCACCCCACCTGCAGGAGTCAGCTGCACACAGCATCAGAGGGCTCAGGGACAGAGCCCACAGCCTCTGGGCCAGAAAGCGACAGCCTGCACCCAGGGCCACTGCAGTCCTGGCCCCAGGGCCACTGCCCAAGGCCCGGGCAAACCCCTCTCAGCCGCATGCTGCTCACTCACCAGGCCAGGGGGAGTCCAGCCAGTGCTTAATATGCAAGATCTTTTTATCCTTGGACCTGCCATATGCCTCCTCACAGATCCGGTCATATTTGGCGATTTCTTCCTGAAATCAGGGTGAAGGCATGGATTGAGGCAGTGATTCCTGGGGTAGCCAGAAGTTGGGTCAACCCAGACTCATAACCCCTGGTCCCTCTCACCACACTCTAGAGGAACTCTCTGCCCACTGGCCTACAGGGGCCTTACGGCCAGAAGGCAAAGTCTCAGAGTTCAAGGGGATTCCACTCAGCAAGGGACTTGGGGGAACTTAGGAAAGACTCACAGTCCTTGCTCTCAGAGCTCCCTAAAGGTGAGAGGACCAATACATCTCCAGATAACTGTGGGGACAAACCCAGCTCAGGGCCACCTCCTACAGGAAGCCTTCTGGGACTCCTGCCTGAGGCTGGGCTTCCATGGCATCGCAGCATCTGCTGCATTTCACCAGGCTGTAAATGTTCTTGGTCCCCTGGCCACCTTGATAACTGGAGGCTCCTGGGGACAAGGACCATACTGGCTGCTTCTTTAAATCTCCAGTGCCCAGCACAGGGCCAGTAACATCAGCAGCCACCCCAGGGTCTTGGCTCCAGCAAGGCTGACCCCACACCCTGATGAGGCCCACCTCGAATTCCTGCAGGGTGACCGTGCCCTCGGCTATGAGCTTGTCGGCATACTTCTTCAGCACGGGCACCTGTCTGTGGATCTGCTTGTACATGAGTGGCTGCGTGAACATGGGCTCATCCATCTCATTGTGGCCGCGCCGGCGGTAACAGACCTGCAGGGGCAGCGGGGGAAGGGGGCTCGGTCCTTGCGCCCAGGCTGTGTGGCTGTTGCAGTCACTGCACAACTGGGCACATCTGGCAGGCCACACCCTTCAAAGCCTCCAAAGCCCCAACTACCACCCATCACTGAACGCCTCGCCCCCAAGCCTCTGCAAAGACTGCCCTCAGCAGTACTAAACCTGCCACCCAGCCCCAACTGCCAAAGATGCTACAGACCCAGAGCATCCAGCACCCCCAGACCTACCAGATCCACCACGACATCTTTATTAAAGGTGTTCCTCCACTCAGCCGCCACGCTGCACACATATATCACGGCCTCTGGGTCATCCGCGTTCACGTGGAAAATGGGTGCGTTGACCACACGGGCCACGTCGGTGGGGTACGGGGAGGAGCGGGCCATCCGGGGGTCTGTGGTGAAGCCAATCTGCGGAGCAGGAGGCACTGAGAGCTGGATGGGTGACCAGAGGGCCATGGGGCCAGGGATTCTTTGCCTCCAGGCCCATAAGGTGTGCCCAGGACAGGACAGGGTAACAGCAGACAGCCCCCAAATCAGACACAGCAGCAGGTCCCACAGGGATGGTAGTTAACACCATGGGAGTTGTGTCTGCTCTTCCTCCTGCCATCATTTCTATACAGTGGGAGTGCGGAGAGCGAGCCGGGGTGAAGCCCAGCCCCGCCAGTTACTAACTGTACAATCCGGGCCAGGTATTTAAATTCCCAAAGCCTTGGTTTCCTATTAAAAGGGCTCACTAACTTACGGGGTTATTCTGTGAAGACTAAATGATGTAATGAGAGTAAAGCAGTTAACCCAGGGCTTTATAGGTTTAGATGAAGGGCTGGCATTAACCACAGCTGCCTTAACAGCATAGGTTGTAAGAGTTGTGGTCTAAGACTGACTGGGTCACGTGGAGCCAAAGGCAGCATTTAGTTACATGTCCAGCCTCTGTGCTAGGTGCTGGTCACAGCCATCTTCCTCTGTCTTTACAGCTGTATCACCTACAGCATACACACAGATGTGTACACCTCCCGATTTCAGACCAGGAAACCGAGGCTGGAGATCCAGCATCCTGCCTGAAGTCCCCCTGGGAAGTGGCAGAGCAGTGGGATCAGAACTAGGGCCATCTCGCTCTTCCCCTCAAAGTGCTGCCTGGATCTCAGGGATGGACAACACTGATGGTCCAGCACTCACCTGGTTGTTGACGACCACGTGCACAGTGCCATTGGTGGTGTAAGAGGGCAGGTCACTCAGGTGGAAGGTCTCATAGACCACCCCTTGGCCGGCAAAGGCGGCATCTCCGTGGACCAGGATGGACATGACCTGTGGGGCCGAACAGCAGCCAGGAGGAGCCCCACTGCCCCAGCCTGTACAGCCTGGCCCCGCCCCCTGCACCACAGAGATTCAGGGTCCGCCCCCTCGGAACCCCGCCCGCCCCCTGTACCTTGGAGATTCAGGGCCCACCCCTCAGAACCCCTCCCCCAGGACCCAGGCACACTCACCTTCCTGCCCTGGGCATCCCCACGGTAGAACTGCTCTGCCTTCGTCTTCCCCTGTACCACGGGGTCCACGGCTTCCAGGTGGGAGGGGTTGGCCACAAGCGACAGAGTGATGTTCCTGTTTGTGACTCGGTTGATTCTCTCGTGGTACATGCCGAGGTGATATTTGACGTCTCCAGAGCCCTGAAGGTTGAGGTGGGCCGTTATGGACCTGCCCCCACCCCCATTCCCATCCCAGACACGCAGGCCCACAGCGGGGCTGGGACATCCCCTGGATTCTGCTCCTTGGGGAGGGCTGTGTTGTCCCTGACTCACGCCAGCATCCCCCCCACCCCCCATCCCCCACCCCCATCCTGGCACACTGCCCTCCTTGCCCTCCAGGCTGGCCTGATAAAGGCAGGTGGGTTCCCCTGGGCCTTGGCTGGAAGGCTGGACCAGCCACTCCCTCATCAGAGCCCCTCCGCATCATCCTCTCCCCATCCAAGACGGCAGAGAAGGGGAGGGGCCGGCCAGCCTCAGGGAAAGCAGAGAAATGAAGGGCGGCTCCCAATTGGTGTTGAGGCCGCTGGTCAGGCCTCTGCGCAAACACTGGAGCAGGACCTCTACCTAACTCTTTATCCTGAAGTAGCTAAAAATGTACACACAGCAGACAAAGCCACCGCATTGGGGAAAACATGACATATTTTCCGATCTTGGAGTCAGGAAAGCCTTTCTAAGCAATGTACAAACCCCAGAGGCCATAAAGGATAAGACAGTTAAAACTTAATAAATTTGTTATGGGGGAAGCAGATCCACGCACAGTATTTGAGAGAAAAAAATAAAGCTGAGAAACATATTTATCAGACAAATACAGCCAAAGGGCTAACTCCTTCAATATATAAAGCACTTTAACAAATCAGTAAGATAAAGCTCAAAATCCCCACAGAAAAATGAGCAAAAGCCAGTAAGAGGAATTTACAGAAAAAGATTACATGGCTTAAAAACAAGGGAAAAGATACTCAAATTCGTCACAAAGAAATATGTTCAGATGCAGTCACTTTTGGACCAATCGCATTGGCAAAGGCAGAAAGGTTCGACAGAGTAAGGGAAGCCGGGGGGCTGGGAACCTCGCCCACAGGTGGGTGGGCTCACTGATGTCTGCAAGCTCTTAAGAGAGTAATTCAGTCCTGCCCTCTCAGCTCCAGCCACTGCGTTTCTCAGATACCCTCTAAAAATGCACTCACACACGTGTGCAAAGATACTCATTCCACCACCTAATGCCCATCAACAGGAGACAGCAGAAGCCAGAGGGGGACCTGGAGCTTGGAGAGCTCCACATGCTGCTACGGAACAGTGATAGCTCATTAAGTGAAACCAGCAAGGTGCCCGGCAGCATCGCAAGCTGTTCCTCTGGTCTTTTCCAAATAAGGCTGTTCTGGACAAATCCATGCGTTTATAGTACGTGGAACATTTCTGGAAGGACACACAACACAAAAACTGACCACGGTTGTGGGGGAGGGTAATAGCTCAGTGGTAAAGTGCATGCTTAGCATGCACAAGGTCCTGGGTTCAATCCCCAGTACCTGCCGTGAATAAGTAAAAAAACACCACAGTGGAGCCTCTGAGGAGCAGGAAAGAGGTCTCATGGGGGAAACCTACTCTCATTGTATTATCTTTTTTCAAATGATGCTCTTATTTTTCTTTCAATTAAAAAAAAGTAAAAATTTTAGAAGTATCCTTTGGCCAGGTTTTACGGTTTACATACACGTCATCTCTGATTCTGTACAACCATTCGGGGGGCAGGAGATTTTTATCCCCATTTTATAGAAAGGCACACAGAGGCTCACAGAGATTAAGGTACTTGAGCAAAACGAACATGAATGGCAGAAAGATTCTGGGCTGGGAGCCAGCAGATGTGGATTCTAGTCCTGCTCTGGTTGAATGTGCTGGATGACGCTAGAGTAGTCACTTAATGTGATTTATTTTTACAAACCATGTACCTGTGATGGGTGCCAGGGCTTCAGGGATGAGGCCCCTGACCTCACCCTGCTACCAGCCTGAAGGGGAACACACACACACACACAACAGAGAAGGCCAGAGCAGAGGTGGTTCTGTGAGCAAAGGAGGCATAGTGGAGGGAGTGACAGATTCGTTGCCTGGAGGACCTGTAAGCCACCAAAAGGGGAGACAGGCAAGAGTGAACAAGGCAGAGAGCAGAGGAGAGAGGAAGACTTCCTGGGCTGAGGGGCCTGCGTGGGCAGAGGCCTTGGGGTGTGAGGCACACGTGACATGTATGTGTGCAGGAAGGGGGCGTGGTCAGAAGAATGTCTCCTCTGCTCATCAGTGGGCACAGGAAACCAACCTATTGCCCAAGGCAAACAAGTGAGTGAGGCAGCCCTTCCAGGCTGGTGGACAGGACACTGGGCACAGAGGCATGGCCCCAGGAGCTGAAGCAAGTAACTCGGGCACTTCCTGCACCTCTCTGGGCCTCAGTTTCCCTAGCTGGAGACAGGGAGGTTGGCCCAGATTTTTCCAGGGCTCTCCCAGGTATCAGAGACCATAGCACTTGCTCCAAAATGCCTCAGGGACCTCACGCAGGCACCCCAGCCTCTCTCCCACTCCTCTGCATGTCTGTCCATCTCAAGGTCTCTCTGAGCCTGCAAGCTCCCCCAGCCCAGCCCTTCCCCCAGTCTACCTCCCAAATAACCAGTTCCCCAGGGGCTCTGGAGCCTTAGCTTGGCACCCACCTCGTCTGCTGCCTCCAGTTTGGGGTCAAACTGGCAGAAGATCTGCTCCAGGTCCTTGCGGATGACGTTGGCCAGCACGTTCAGCCTGCCCCTGGAGCCAGAGGGGCGGGGCTCTCACTTGGCTCAGAGGCCGCCCCCCACTCCCACCCCCCAACAGGCCCTAGCATAACCATGCTCCCTGCCTACCTGGGACCTATCAGGACCAGCAGGGGGACTGAGGGGGGGACTGCCCCTCCCAGGTAGAGCCCCAGGAGCCCTCTCATCCTGTCTCCATCTTATAAGGCATGTGAGCGGTCCCAGCCAGCCAGCTCCCCCGGGGCAGGCAGATGTCCCTGCCTGTCTCAGACTCAGTAAGCCCTGGTGAGCAGGGAGCCCCCCAGCCTCAGGGCAGCGTATCCACTCCCCCAATCCCTGACCCAAAAGCTGTGCCCAACCCAGCACCTTGACCCCAATCTGCTAACGCATCACAGCTGCTCACACACGGCTCCCCACCCCAGCCCAGCGGTGCCATGAAGCAGGATGGGGAGGAGGGGCCTGGACTGCCCCGAAGATCAGGACCCACCAGAGGACCTGTCCAGAGGATCTGGTCTGAAGGGAGGGTGGGGGAGGAAAGCAGCTGGGGACCAGGGATTGTCCAGCCCAGCCGAACTTCCTTCCCATCAGGAGGCAATCTATTTTGGGGTGGACTCCAGCCTGATGAGGGCACAGGGCATGACTCCGAACTCGCCCTCCATGGCCTGCCAGTAGATGCCAGCCCCAGGCCCGCACACACACCCTGGCCTGACCTCAGCCCCTCATGGCCCTGGGACAGAAGGACAGCCTTCTTCCCATGGGCCTCTCTCCTGCTCTGCAGGGACAGGGCTGGGCGGAGCCACAGGAGCTGTGTGACAACGGCTCCCTGGAGCAAGGCCCTCCAGCCTCAGAGGCCCCTCCGCCACTATGGAGGCCTGGCCTAGAGCAGCTCTGGGCTCTCAGAGCTGTCCTCAGGCTGACAGCCTGCCGAGCACCACCACACAGTCCCAGAGCTGCCCGACACCATCCCCTCCCACAGTTCTACCCAAGCCATGTGTGCCCATGCCCTCAGACCTCAGTGCCAGCTCTGCCTGACCCTCTGACCAGACCCCGGACACTTCTGGGCCCCTCAGAGCACAGAGTCTGAGAGGCAAAGCCCCATAGGGTGGGGACATCCTCACACTGCATCTGGATGCTGCAGGTGCTTGGCTCTTTCTGTGATGAGCAAGCCAGTACCCAGGGACTCTGAGAACTTTCTGGACCTCTTTGCCTCTACCACCAACACCCTTGCTTTGATTTTCATCGCCCCCCACCCCAGATGGCCCCTGATCCACCTCAGCTTGCTGGGCCTGGAGAGAAAGCACAAGGCTGAGGCAGGGACGGGGGGAGGGGCCCACCTGTGTGGCATTCCCAGGATGACATTCTCAATCCCCATCTCACTGGACTTGTCGATGATGGTCTTGAGGGCAGGAATCATGACCTCACAGCCCTCCAGGCCAAACCGCTTCTCTGAGGACCACTTCCGGGCCAGGAAGTCTTCAAACCTGCTTGGGAGGGAAGGGGACAGGTGGAGAGGCTAGGGCTCACGGGGGCAGCTCTGGAGGGCTTGTGGCAGGATGCCAGGACAAGGGAAGCTGCGGAGCCACTTCTCTGTGCACAGACCAGGACCTGGTACCGACACCACGATGCCCCCACCAGCAAGGAGCACAGGTCGGTAGGAGGAGGCCAAGGGTCCTCCCAGATTAACCAGAGACCGCCACCTGCACCCATTCCCAGCTACCACCCTCTCTCCCCCTTCCAGTCAAACTGCTGCAACTAGCCATTCCGCTGCTCCCAGCCCTCTGCCCTCCCACCCACATATGTACTGGGGCTCTCTCACGATGCCCCAAAGACCTCAGCATGGCTCAGCTCAAATTCCAGCCCACACGTCACTGCTCAGGGATCCACTCTGCACCCAGCAGCTAGGCCAGGTGCTCCTCCAGGCCCCTGTGGTCCTGGGCAGACCCAGCTTCGGCGAAGTCCGTGGGCAGAGCCCAGCAGTGCCCACCTGCAGGCAGCCGCTGCTACACTCACTCCACGCGGGGACATCGCTCTGCCCAAACATTCCCATAGCCACTTTCTGCCACTTCCACCGTCACTCGGGGACGTGTTCTCCTGGAGCCCCATCCAGCCCTGCCTTCCCTTACCAAGCACCCTCCCAGTTTCTTAGCCAGAGCCTGGGACATCTCGTACCACCCTGGAGCAGCACCCGCTAGCCACTTGGGCTTCCCGGGGCGGTGCTGAGGGCCTGACCTCATGGAGCGCACCAGCCGCGCCAGCAGGGTCCGCTTCTCCTCGCTGGAGAACTGCATCACGCCAGGGGTCTCGAACTTCTGTCGGATCCACTGGCACTGCTCCACGTCATTGATGAACATGAACTCCAGACCGATGTGCTGGCAGTATGTGCTCTGGGGGGACAGGGGGACACTTCACTAGGAGTCAGGAAGAGGACTGACTGCCTTGGTATCTGGGACAAAGAAGGCAGAGCCCTCCCTCCCCTCTAATGCCCACAGAGAGCTGCCTCAGGTGTGCCCGACACACCTGCCTGCACTCACCTCCAGACGCCGAATGATCTCGCGCAGAGAAAGGGTGTGTTCGGAGCCCCCAATAAAGGTAGTTGTGGGCAGCTGGAATTCCTTATCCAGGTCAGCCTCCCGCAGGTCGTAAAAGGCTGGAGAGGTGCACCCAGCAGAGCCCCGGGCAGTAGAGAGGAGAGGGGGAGCTCAGGCTCAGGTGGGGCCCAGCAGTATCCCCTGACCTCCCCACAGTGCCCCCAGCACCCTCCTGCCAGGTCCAGCCTAAAGCTCAAGGGTCCTCTGCCTGCAGGGCACAGGGCACCAGGGTCAGAGCCAAGCTTGCCGCCACAAGGGTGGGCCGGGACAGGTATCTCCTGCTTACTAACCGTGGTGCACCAGCCAGGGAAAACGGGAAGACATCTCTTGAAGGGACACCATGCAGTAGATGGGCAAGGGCCAGAAAGAAGCCTCCTAGGCAGCTTGCTGAACCCCAGGACTCGGAGGCACTACAGGCTCACAGCCCCTCACTGGACACAGGCACACACTGGCTCTGGGGTTGCCAGGGCAATGGGAAAGGGTACCGACTCTCACCCAATTTATCGATGGTTGTGATTAAGTCTGAGGGCACAAAGGAGTCCAGGTCTGCGTCCAGAATGCCCAGGGGGTCCAGCTGGGCCACATGGTGGCCCCGGATCTGGAGAAGGAGAAAAGCTCAGGGTAGGGCTGGGACACAGCTGGACAGACCCTCACCAAGAGGGAGATTCTGGGCACTGGTCCCCACTTCCCTTGAAAGCAGTTTCAAGTTTCCACCTGTCTCCAGCATCCAGGCCCTGAAGTTGCCCCTGAACCCCACCATAGCCATTGAGGTGGCAGGAGCTCAATTCCGTTTAAAAGTACAACATGCAGCTTTCAAAAATAGGAAAGAATGCACACACAACAGTAGTTACTACGGTACTATTAGTAATCGGAAAATTCTAGAAACTTCCCAAATGTCCATCAACAGGAGACTGGCATATGGGTTTGGGAAATCCACACAGGGAATACTACCGAGCTGCTAAAAGGAATGAAGAAAATCCCTAACTGCTGCTATGAGGTTGTCTCCACAAAATAGTTTTAAGCAAAAAAAATCAAATGATAGAAAAGTACGTGTGGTAAATTGCCCATTATCTAAGAAAGGGAAGAGAGAGGTAAACATCTATATTTGCGTATATTCATACATATTTGCATAAATCCAAATGAATATATGCTTTAGAAGAATAAATAATAAAATAAGAATGCCATAAAGTAAGAAAATTATTATCTATGGGGAAAGGATGAAATAGGGTAGAAGGGCAGGGCTAGACGCTAGACTTTTAAGAATATACCTTGCCTTGAAGATTCGACTTTCGGATCTTAGTAATATTTTATATCACTATAAAACAAAATTAAGTATTAAAAATTGAAAGTAAGACAAAACAAATGAATTAATGCATCCATCTGCTGGCATGACTACACAGAGAGGAACTGTTCCAACTGACTAATAGAATAGTCCCCAAAGACAAACAGAACTGCAGGAATAAAAAGGTCATAAATTCATTTCTATTACTAATCAGCGGTGGTAGTATCAGAATTGTATTCTAAGACTGTCGTGTGGGGATTGTGGGAAAATCAAAGAAGTCATTGTATTGTTGCCTTTGGGAACCTCTATTTTTGGAATATTTAAAAAGAGATGGTGTAAGACTGATGAGGTCAACATGGATGTCCCTGGAGAATGTCGTTCTAAGTGAAGTAAGCCAGAAAGAGAAAGAAAAATACCATATGAGATCGCTCATTTGTGGAATCTAAAAAAAAAGGACATAAATACAAAACAGAAGCAGACTTACAGACATAGAATACAAACTTGTGGTTGCCAAGGGGGTGGGGGTGGGAAGGGACAGACTGGGATTTCAAAATTTGTAGATACTGACAGGCACATGCAGAACAGATAAACAAGATTATACTGTATAGCACAGGGAAATATATACAAGATCTTGTGGTAGCTCACGGTAAAAAAAATGTGACAATGAATATATGCATGTTCATGTATAACTGAAAAATTGTGCTCTACACTGGAATTTGACACAACATTGTAAAATGTCTATAACTCAATAAAAAAAATGTTAAAAAAAAAAAAGAAAGAAAACCTGAACTTGAAAAAAAAAACAAAAAGACTGATGAGGTCAGGGACAAACCCTAAGTCCTGCATTTGACATACACAGAAGCGTCAGCATAAACCCATAGAGTACGGCATCTTTTTTTAAAAAAGATATGTATTTCCTGGCTCTAACCACTGGAAGAACCAAGAAATCATGACCAAACCAAGAGCAGTGAACACTTCCCCGCTCCCTGGAGAACTGGCTGGTCAGAAATGTACAAGATGAGCTCAAAGCATCCTGTCCTACCAGGGAGCGAAGGGGTGCTCAAACACCACTGGGGCTGCCAATCGGGACACATTTTGAGCAACGGTAAGGATAACACCTGTAACAGACTGAAACTCATCAAAGATGTTTAAATGCATGCATTCATACCAACTAAGAAAAACCTTTATTGGCCATCTTTTGGAGGATGCTGGGGAACCATGCCTTCATTTTGAAAACCCATCAGTAAAAGAAAAATTAAGCCTTGATCCTGCCTTTCCTATACAATTTGTACCTCAGGATAAACAGAGCTGACAAAGGGAAGTTTCTCCTGATAGAAGTATTTCAGGTAATAAACAAAGAAAGACAGAATTAGAATATCACCATTTTTACCACTCAGTGATTTAATGTGTCCAGGAAATAATTATCCCCTGAAGTGCCCATCACCACCAGGAAACTGATTGTACAACAACAAGAAAATCAAGTCCTTATTGGATCAAGCATCTGGATCTAACTACCAATTTACAGAAATGACATGGGACACAGGGACAGATGAAGGGACACCTTGGGGACACAGTCAGCAAAATCCAGACTCAAGAAAAGTCTGTAGGACAAACAACCTGGTTTCTTACACACACACACACACACACACCCACACACACACACAAAACACACACACGGCAAGGAACACAAAAAGAAATCAAGAAGAACCCATGGAGTGGTGTACAAGAGACTTAAAAGCCATGTCAACTTATCACAACCTGTGGCTTTACTTAGATCCTGATTCAAACAAGCAGTAAAAAGAAATCCTAAGACAAACAGGCCAACATGAATACCAACTGGGTCCTTGATGACAATAAGGATGACTGCCATGCGCAGGTGCGATAATGCTAACGTGGGATATTTGTATACTTTTTAAGGCGCCTTTATCTCTGGAAATGTGTGCTGAGATGTTCAATGAATGAAATATGATGCCTGGGACTTGCTTCAAAATAACCAGTGGACTGTGCCTGGAGCCAGAGGTGGGTGACAGATGAATCAAGACTGGCCCCGTACTGATGGGGGTGGGGTACCCGACACAACTTTTCTTTTATATGCTTGAAAACATCCGTAAGAAACAACATGGGTTTTTTTTTTTATCAGTATGGTGTGCAGATGATCCAACCCGGGGCTCAGCCTCCAACGGGCCTGAGAGGGGCTGTAGTCCACCCCATCCACCCTGGGGGGGTGGTCGCTGTCAGGCCCACCATTGGGCAGATTTTTTACCATACAAGAACAGAATAACACGCCTGAATCCAGAGACCACCCTGCTGGAAGGGCTCAAGGGCTGGGTCTTGGGTCATGAAAGAACAAAGCGCAGTAAAGAGTTGGGAATGGTGCTTAGAAGCTAAGGCCCTCAGGCAGCTCTCGGAATGTTACCTTGTATTTCACATAGTTTTATATTCCTTGTTCTTCATTTTCAAAGTCAATTTAGCCAGCCAAGAACATAATTACCACCACTGCTGTTTGCTCGCAGGTGGCCCACGATCCACAGGTCCCAAGGCCACGGAGGGAGCCCGGTCCTGCCCACCCTTCCTCTTCCGCCCCAGCACAGGGAAGGTAGCTGCCATCCCACGCAGGGCCTCCTGCAGAGGCAAAGCACTGTTTCCATTTGCTAAGCTCCCCCACCCCACTCCCCATTCCTGCATTGGCTTGAGGCACTCTCCCATGAAGTCTCTGCCAAGGGCCGCGGGATGCCCTCATCCCTCCTTCTGAGTGTCTCTGAGACAAGTTTCTCTTAGGAAATAGCTTCTGCCACTGTTTCCCAGAGAGATCTCAAGTGATTACCTTTTTTATGGCGTGAACACCCAGAGCAGCCCTCTAATTAGTCCTGTGCAGTCAAGATCAAGCATATGGAACATCATTAGGACTCTGACAGAGCAGGGGCCCAGCCTGGAGACCCAGCAAGGGGACCTGAGTCTCCAGGACAGAGCAGCTGGTAGGGGGGGAGCTGCTTACTGAACTGGTTCCACAAACAATAGTTAAGCACTTGCTGTATACCAGTCCCTGTCCTCCTGAAATGGTTTGTCAAGGAGAAAACAGACATTAACAAGGATCAATCTCCTCACCTTTCATTTGACACTCACTGAAACCGATCGTTCACTAAGTACTCTTCTAGGTACTTGGGCACAGTGGTGGGAAGACAGACAACACTCCGTGAGAAAGACCACAAACAAATCAGTCTGTGCAAAAATTACAGGGCGAAGGTAAGTGATATGAACGGCAGCATGACAAAGAGCAGGAGGAGGGGCCAGAGGCACCAATAGAGGACTCGGAGAAGGGCTCTCTGAGATGACACCGGATCTGAGCTGGCCTTCCCGCTGTCAGCACCTGGCCACACCCAAGAAGCCAGTCCAGCCGCTCACCTGGTAGGCCCGGATCAGGGACTGCACAGCCAGGTGGTCCTCCACCAGCTTGCTGGTCTTAGTCCAGCTCGAGACTGCCGGCCTGCTCTCAGGGATGACAGAAGGGGCCTGGGGCTGAGACAGGCCATACGGGGCTTCCTTGCTGGCTTTCCGGAAGAAGCTGTCCCAGGACTGGGCAGGGGAACAAGCAAGAAAAGAGCCCGGTGAGGGTCTGGGAGGAGTAGGGGGGTGGCCCAAGCTGGGGGCCCGGGGGGCAGTGGTGTTCCTCCACCACTGTAGCTCTCAGGACCTTCCTGGAGCCTGCTGAGAAGACCCCTCTCAACCAGCCTAGGCCCCCTACCTAGATCCCAGACCTCTCCAGGACCCAGCTTGGCAGGGAGTAGGGGAAGGTCATAAATTGTGACCAAGGGGCTTCTACCCCTGGGAGAAACATGTCCTCACACACTGCGGGTTGGAGGTAGCCTTCGTGGAGGGCAATTTGGTCGGCAGGCCCTCAACACTTTAAATGAATGTATGTTTTGAACTAGCAATTCCACTGCCAGTAATTTACAAATGTACTGGACAAATGTGCCTAGATGTAGAAGGATGCTCCCTGCGGGGCAGTTGATAAAAATGACAATGGAAAAAACAATCTACGTGGTAGATCAATAGGAAACTGATGGTAAATTTAGATTCTGGAAAATTATGTAGTCTTAAAAAAAATAAGGTGCATTTATTATTGTAGATGTGGAAGAATTGCCAAGATACGTTGTAAAGTGAGCAAAGCAGAAGAGGAGGATATACGGTTTGCTACTGTGCGTGCAGAAGCAGTAAGCAGATGGGCATATGCACCAGCATCTCCATGATCCGGTAGAACACATATAACCGTGCTTTCTTCTGCACCCTCTCATGCAAGACTGGTGGGGGAATAGGTGGTATGAGCCCCGTGGAAAGCAACTTGGCAATACCCATCAAAATGACACACACAGATGCCCTGACCGACCATTCCGCTGTGGGGAATTTATCCTACCAGTTAGCTGCACACATGCAAGATTCATGTACACTGCAGCACCAGTCACGACAGCCAGAGACTGAAATGAAATGAGGCAGATGCCTCCCTGGGGACGGATGTGATGCATCCATCCAGATAGTGGAATACTACACAGCTGAGAAAAAGAACGAAGCTCCTGAGGTACTGATGTGGAAAAATCCTGGAGATAAGTGCTGAGTGAAAAAAGCCTGGGGCAAAACAGTTGCTGTTCCATATTATTTTTTTGTAAAGAGGGGAATCCAGAATGTGGTTTGCAATGTTTGCCTAAAGAAACTCTATGAACAGATACAGAAGAAACTAAGACTAGAATGAGGGACAGAGAGGTAGGAGCTGAGCAGAGAGGGGATGGATTGGGAAGGAGTCTTTTCACTGTAGAAATTCATACTTTTTGTTTTTGGATCATGTGAATGTATTACTTTCCTCTGAGGAGTGTAAGTGAAGGAGGGAGAGCAGCTTCACTTTTCACCCTGGCACCTGACTTTTCTTTTTTTTTTTCCACCATCAGCGGTTATTTATTCTATTAGCTCAATACATACATAAACATTTATGCTCCTAACTACATAACAAGGGGCCATCTGGAGACAGCACAGCATCACAAAGGGGGCAAGGGCAGGTCTCAGACCAGGTGTGGCTGAACAGGGCATTGTCAGGGCTTCTCAAGCCAGACCACCACCCACTGGCTGGTCCAGCAGCAGGAAAGCAACGGACTTTCCTCACTCAATATGCAGACCAGGCTCTTTCACCAACAAAGACACAGGACTTGAGAGGGAACGAAACCTGCCGGAGATCGCACAGCAGGCCAGCTGCTTCTCCCCCCGCCCCTCCCCAAGCCTGGCCCCAGGAGCCCCCCTCCCACACAGAGGGCAGGGTGGTGGTGCTGACCTTGTGGACACTCTGTGGGTTTTCCAACCAGGCGAAGTACATCTCTTCCATGTAACTGGAGCTGCCTCCAACTTTGCTGCTTGGGAAGGCGGCGGGTGGCCCAGATGATGTACTGCACCAGCTGAGCCTCTGGACGCCATGTGGGGCCAGGAGCCTTGAGGTCTGTGCTCCAAGCCGGGATGGCAGCAGCCTCAGCTGACTCATTCTGGACACAGGCAATAAGGGAGAGGCATAAACCCACAGGACCAGGACGGAAGCAGGCTCTGGCGGCCACTTGTCCACTCACGTGGCATTTGTAGGGCCTACCAGGCAGCTGGCCTTGGGATCGGCAGCGACCGGATACAGGTGAGTGGGACAATCAGCCAGCCATCCTGACCACCCTGAACTTGGGCAGAGGAGTCCTCCAGGGGCTGGGTGTGCCATGCCCAGTCAGGAAAAAGCAAGAAGAAAGGGGACCGGCTGAGCTACGCTCTCTTGGGAGGCCTACAGCACCGTTGGGTCCCCAGTCACTAACCCAAAAGTGACCAGTGACTTCCCCTGACTGTGGTATCGACCCCGAGCGCCCTCCTAGGCCAGGAGGTCAATGACATGGGCCCCACTTCACACTGAGGAGGACTGACGTCCAGAGAAGGAAAGGGCACTGGGGAACGGTGAGGGGCTGACCAGCGGCAGGCCTCGTGCCCAGCTGAGCTCGCGGCCGCAGCCACCCTCTCGCCCCCACACCCTGACCAGAGCTTACGCTCAGGACCAGCACCACTCAGGATGGCTGACAGCTCAGGGGGTATGTACAGGCTGGAAGCCCACTCAGACTGGAGAGAAACAGAATACCCCACTATTGTCACCTGCTTTTTCTCAGAGGAAATGCCTGAATAACAAGCTTTCACACGGGGGGGTGGGGAGGCTTCCTCCTCCCCTCAGAGGACTGACTTTCTAAGAGAAGAGCCTCCTCTTAGAACCTCTGCTCCTCCACCCTGCCCTCTGCCCCACACTGAGAGCAGAGCCCCCTCCTCTGCCCCAGCACTGCCCAGACACAGACACAGCTCCCTCCGAATACTCACTAATGCCCATCTGTCCAGAACCAACCCACCAGGGGCTATGGAGGCAGGAGGGCCTGCTCCCCCTTGTGCAACTCACTCCCAGAAAGTGTGCCTTTCTGCCTGGGCCTGGTCCTGAGTCAATGCCCCTGGGCCCAGGTGTGCCCAGCCAACAGGGCACTACCACCACCACCCTCACCAGCCTAACCAAGCCGCCAGAACCTCCTGGCTGGACTTTCTCTTCTACAAGGGGTCGGGCCCCAAGGCAGGGCAGGGCCAGCCCTCCTAGCTTGCCTCAGCCCTCTTTCCCTCCAAACTCACACGAGGCAAGGGGAAGGGGGTGGGCTCCTCAGGGCAATCAGCAGCAAGTCTGAACAAAGGAAAATTCAAAAGCAAATATATATTCCACTGCAGGGAGGAACGAGGTGGGTTTGGCTGGAACCTGAGGCCCGAGTGCCCCACGCTTCCTTCCCATATGCTCAAACCCAAAAACTTTCGGCTACATGCCCAGCCCCACCAGCCAGTGATGCCAGGCCCTACAGGGAGGGCTGCTAGGAGCTGGTCCCCCTGGAGTGGCACCTCTCCAGGTGCTGGGTGGCGGCTCAAGGCCTGGGCTCTGGGGTCAGAGGGCCAGGGTTCCAACCCCTGCTCTAACCCTGACTGTCCCTGAGGCCTGGGCAAATACGAGGCTGTTACCCCCAGCCCAATGGCCACAGGGCTCAGGAGCTACTGGCTTGGGACATCAGAAGAATCTAAACAACCCAATGGGGAAGTTCTATCATCCCCATGCTAGGACGAAGGAAACCAGACACCAAGACCATCCATCACAGGAATAAAAATAAGAGGACAATTAGTGAGCACTGATTCTGGGGCAGCAACTGAACTCATCTAACATTCTCAACAATCTCAAGAGGTGGGCACTTGGATTAGCCTCATTTTACAAATTGGGAAACTGAGGCACAGAGAGGCTAAGCTGGTGAGTGATGGGGTTTTGCATGGTTTGGGGACCTGTGCCCTCCTCACTGCAGAGTCATGATGTAAACCGAGGCTCCTCTTAAGGACAGTGCTCTTTCCAATGGCTACAGCCAGCTCTCTCTGCTGGCACCCTCCCCACCCCCACAGGCTGTGTCCAGCCTGGCCTGGTGTAGGAACACTGTGTTTTACAAACCCTGAATGATCTGTGCAGCCACCGGACACTGCCGTGGACTTCACCCGGCCTGACAGGAAGGCAGCTGGCCAGCCACCCCTGCCCCAAACACAGCAGGGCTCGAGGACTCAGGAGCCCTGGAGGGCTGGGGACAGAGTCAACCTCAGTAGCTGGAGCCAAGGCCCCAGCCAGCCCTGCCAGGTCCTGCCTACACAGGTGAAAGGGAATTCCTGAGTTCAGGTCAGGCACCCTCCACACCCTCTACCCAGCCCATCCTACAGCGGACTAACAGGCAGGTTGCTCTGGGCAGCTCTTGGGGACAAGGTCAGTACCATCCCCACGCCCCACCCCTAGAAGCATAACAACTGCAGACATTCCTGGCCACTAAGATTCCCACATGCAAGGCCCTATCAGCACTGCCCTGGTGAGGACTGCTCTGCAATATGCCCATTGTAGAGATCAGTTAACAGATCCTCCCCCAGATCTTGAAGCTGGGCAGAAGCAGAGCCTGGACTCACGCTCCTCCAGGCCCACTCTGGCCCCACATTCTGGGAATTAGGGGTGGGGGAGTTCTCAGGAATAAACCCCAATTCTAGTTTACTGAACCCAAGAGAAGGCCACTGCGGCAGAGTCTGAGGTAGGAAGCAGGGTAGGAGCAGGGTGTGCTTATTTCCTTGGTAGAGATGGAGGGCCTGAGCTTAAAGCCCAAAGGTGGGGAAAGTACAAAGGTACATGCGGCCTGTTCCAAGAAGCTACCGGATGTGTGCAGAGGGGCTGCAGGGGCCACCAAGTTCATGGTGAGGGGCATCACAGCACCATGCTGGGCCCTCAGGGTCACCCCCTCCCCCCCACATTTCCCTAGGGAAGGGAGAAGCAGGTCCCAGGCTGACTGCGACCTCTGATCAGTCTTTCCTCTCTCAGAGCCTCAGTTCTCCCATCTGTGAACGGAAACCGTGGTTAAAACCATCTATAAGGGCTCTGCCCACCATGAGGTCCTGAGACTTCGATGCTGCCTGCGTGTCCCAGCAGGCATATAATGCTGGACCCTCCCTATTCCCAGCGCCGCTCTCCACAGCTCGAGAGGAGCAGCAGGCCCCTCCCCACGCCGCGAAAGGCAGCATGGACAGTCTGTAGTCTGATGAGAACCCACGCTGATGCCTGAAACCCCACCGTTAGAGCGTCGCTCCTTTACAAAATACTGCACTCGCAGGGTTGGATGCACGCGAAGGGCTGGGGGTCTTTGCGGAGGCCGCGGCCAGACAATGGCGGAGCCAAGGTCATGCTCACACCTCCTCCCGCTTCCCGGGGCCCGGCTCAGGGCTGTGGGCAGCAGCGCCCCAGGACCCAGGAGACGGGAGCAGGGTGGCCACCCCCTAGACAGCGGGAGAGGAAGAGGCACAGGGACCTGGAGGCGAGGG